TTTCACTTGTCTCTTTGACGAGTTCGTAGGTTGGTGCGGCGAATGGCAAAATTCACTGATGCTGCCGACTATGATGCTGGCCAAGCATTTGAAAATGTACTAAGTCCACTGTCAGATGCTGGGAATCATGACAACTACTATGGCAGACGACTTCGGACTAGGTGTGTTCTACTAAGTCGCCTTGACAACAATACCAAGTTGCGACAACGAGGTCAACCCACTTCTTGACTTGGTATGTTGATATTTTTTCGTTAATTGTGTATTCTCGCTCTGAAGGTGTCTGAGCGACATGACAGAATTGTCTAGAACAACAGGTCTCTGGTAAGCCAATTCACGAATCCCTTTTGGCCAGCTTCTCCTTCGAAATGAACGTTGAATCGCTCCAGCTTATTGAAGGATTCCTGTTGAATCGGCTTTCTTTAGCACATCACTTGGCCAGTGCCCTCCTGCACGCCCTAATATCTCTCCAGTCGCCTGTGAATCCTATTTCAGGATGCAACTTACATTCTGTTTTTATCCCACATTCTCATCGGGCAACCATCCAGGTCTGTGTTTAGGGCAAGTGCCCCCTGGGCAGGATCAGGGCCCAATGTTGAGCAGCTCAGTCATTTTTCATGTGGTACAGTAACTCCGTCGAGGTTCATCGGTTCTCTCGTCGTTGAACAGAGACATGCAGTTGCAAGTCTGCTTTTCCAGCCCGTGAGTAGAGGAGCAGGAAAGGGGCAAGATGAGCAAAAGAGACCGCCGGACGTCACTAGCCCCAGTCGAATCTGGCCTTAAGACTAAGCCATGTTCACTCGGCAAATAGTTACCATCGCAATATCTGCAGCAAGCCATCTTGGGCAGTTTAACCTTCACTCGGTAGCTATGACCACGAAAAGATGCCTAAATTTGGCCATTTCTATTATTCGCATCTTTCCTCGTCGTTTCGCGTTGACTACTGCCTCTGTAGCTGCGCCATCCACATCCACCGGTACTATTATTAGCAGAATTGGTCCTCCTAATACTACTAATGGTGCCACTATTGCTAATGTCCCTTCTGCCGCTGCAGGCGACGCACGCTTAAGATCGCTGAATCTGACCCAAAATGGTGCACAACGAACTTGTGGACTGAAGAGGAAAGCAACATGTACTGCGCAAAATTGAGAAAAGTGCCTAATGAACACGCAAACAAACGAGCACAACCGGTCCGTGCAATGATGTAGAGACAAGCAAGTAGGGGAACAAAGTACACGACCCTTGCTCCGCCCAGTCCAGCCAGATATTATGGGATTCGCATTGTTTAGACTGCGGCCACATCGAGTATGCCAAGCTATGCTGGGAATTTATTGAAATTATTAAAATTATTAAAATTATTGAAATTATTAAAATTATTGATACTTTGTTGCCTGGGTAGTTGTCAATTAACTGATCTGTTTACGTTTTGTTGTCCGAAATAGAGAAAGTGTGAATACCTGTCTCGCTTGGGCTTTAGCCTGTAGGATTAAATAAAAATATTCGTATAGCCTTCGATTCTATAGAGGTGGGTTGACCTCGTTGTCGCAACTTGGTCTTGTTGTCATGGTGACTATGTAGAACCCACCTTGTTCGAAGTCGTCTGCCATAGTAGTTGTCATGATTGTTAGAATCAGACAGTGAACTTGGTACATTCTCAAACGTTTCGCCGGCATCGAAGTCGGCATCATCAACGAGTTTTGCCATTCTCCGCACCAAGCTACGAACTCGTCAAAGAGACAAGTGAACTCGATCTCTCGACAAACGTTCTGCCGAAAACAGTCTCACTCTCACTCCTCTTTCTGTCATTGTCTATCTATCTACTCTTTACACTCTTATCCCACTGCCAGCCTATCACAACTTCTCACTTGTTTGTATTCCACTCGTCAAAATGTGTGCCCTTGTGTGGCTAATCTAGTGTGGCCTCATCCCATTTGCTATTCACCCTGACCCCTTCTCTTTCGATCGGCTGATCCGACTCGGACCTCCAATCCGGATCTCCCTCATGGTCCCGTAGATCCGTTCCCTCCCTTTCCGGTTGACCGATTTCACTCGGTCCCAGTCTCAGTGTGAATTCTACTTCCGGCGCTATTTCTC